AGGGATGGTCTCCCCATACACCAGGGATGGTCTCCCCATACACCAGGGATGGTCTCCCCATACACCAGGGATGGTCTCCCCCATACACCAGGGATGGTCTCCCCATACACCAGGGATGGTCTCCCCATACACCAGGGATGGTCTCCCCATACACCAGGGATGATCTCTCCCATACACCAGGGATGGTCTCCCCATTCACCAGGGATGGTCTCCCCATACACCAGGGATGGTCTCCTCCATACACCAGGGATGGTCTCCCCATACACCAGGGATGGTCTCCCCATACACCCGGGATGGTCTCCCCATACACCAGGGATGGTCTCCCCATACACCAGGGATGGTCTCCCCCATACACCAGGGATGGTCTCCCCATACACCAGGGATGGTCTCCCCATACACCAGGGATGGTCTCCCCCATGCACCAGGGATGGTCTCCCCATACACCAGGGATGGTCTCCCCATACACCAGTAGAGGAAGTTAAGACTATGCCCGAACATTTTGCTTATCCCGACGCTCGTGCATAGTTGTGATTTGTTTTTAGTTCACATTGTCGTTGAGCGTCTTCTAGCTCCTGCTATGTTTCCATGGGGGTTAAATGGCTGCCTTCTGTCCTACCGAAATGCGCTCACTTTGGTAACCCGCACAGACACAAGCGTCGCTAACGGTCAATGACATCATTAGCTAGCCAACCTTCATCTTCTCGGAAAAAGTCAAATTTCTGTAATAGCGTATTTAACCCCATTTGAATATTTATTCCCATTTTCGATATTATACCATAAAGATTAAAAGCTTGTTTTCCGTCAAGCCTAATGTGCAATGACGTCACCCACCATCTACCATGAAGATGGTGGTGGGTTTGAATTGCAACAAGATTTGAGAGATCTCAAATCTTAGATTTGAAGATATCTCTTCTTAGTTAAGAAAACCTCATGAACTGTAGAAGATTTGTCAATTTCAATTCAATCTCAATATCATCACCAATTGCACTGAAAAATAAGAACAGTTAAAAAAGCGCAATGAATTACAATGAAAAAAGAAACAAATAAGCTATACCCACGAAATGAACGGTATGGTAAACACCACAGCTCAATTCCAACACAACGTCACACAAAATAATTAAATCAAAATGAAAATATATCGAAATCTATGAAAATTCAATTTATCAATGCAATTTAAAACATTGAAATGTATTCGTAACATATTTCTTATATCGTATGTTGCTCTTACGTGCAACAGATGGTGCTATTTTCCAAAAAACACAAGTTTTTACCTGTCACATGAGTGGCATCTAAACAGTAGGTATAAAAAAAACGCATGTATTCGAATTGAGCGTTGTGTCAAAATTTCAAAGCAATCGGTGAAGAACTTTCGGTGATTACAACAAGTGTTGCTCTTAAGTCCTACAGATGGCGCTATTTTTCAAAATAAGCATGTTTTTTCCTGACATAGGTGAGGCATATACATAGTAGACATATAGAAACACTCGCCAATTTGAATGCACTGTTGTGTCAAAATTTCTAAACAATCGGTAAAGAGGTTTTGAACAGTTCCCTCATATGAAAAACACTTTTCAAATATAGCATGTTTTTCCCGTAACAGATGTAACATCTATATTGTATGTATATATAAACCCGTTCGGATGTGAAAGGAACGTTGAGTGAAAATTTCAAGGCAATCGGTGAAGAACTTTCGGAGATTAGCGATTTTGAACAAACGAACATTTCCATTTTTATTTATATATTAGCAGTACCCGGCCACGCGTTGCTGTGGCTCAGCCACGCATATGCGTTGCTGACCCCACAGCAACCTCCCCTGTCCCCCATTCCTCCCCACCATTCTCTCCTCACCTGTCCCCTCAGCCTCCTAACCATTCCCCACTCCACCATCCCCTCGGCCTCCCCACCATTTCCTACTTCACCACCCCCTCTTCCTTCCCACCATGCCCCACTCCCCTGTCCCTTTTTCCTCCCCACCATTCTCCATTCCCCCCCATCCCCTCGTTCCAACCATCTCAAACCCTCGTCCTTCCCCACCATCACCCCCTTCCTTGTCCCCTCGTCCTCCCCACCATCTCTCACTTCCGTCCCATTGTCATCCCCAACATTCCCCAATGTTACGAATCTTACTAAGATTCTGCCATTACTCTCGATTCTCATTTTACTTTATTGTCTTGTTCTCTAATTAATATTGCATCCAGTTGTATGATATAAGATTTTGTATGTTATATATGTTACATAGCATGCTGTGTAGTGTGTGTGAGGCTTTTGGTGTTAGATTTCGCATGTAGTTTCTCCGTGTGGGCAGTTGACCATATTTGGATATGGCCAGTGTGGGAACATTGTTGTCAATCGAGTGTCTATAGTTTTACCTTTATTTATTCCCATATTTGGTTGCCGTATTATTGTATGGAATGTTATACCAGTGTTTACTACTCTTTAGTTTGACAATGTTTTGAATATTAATGCTGCATTTTGTTATTAGAATTTCCACAATGTTTATGTGGACGTTTAGTTGACTTTTTGGTAGACGTTTAGTCGACGTTTGGCCTGCTGACCAAAGCCTGGGCAGTAGCGTGGTGGCTGCTGTCGAGAGGAGTTGTGTTTTAAGCTAAGTCATTGGTCACTGTTATTTTAGCCCATATACATGTTAATTATCTGGTTAGATGACTTGAGTATTACTATTGATTACTCCATGTTCTGGTGATATTGCTCATGTCTCAATAATTAATTTCATTCTATGATATGGCATGCTGAAAAATATTTCTGGCTATTATTTATACATTTAATTGTTGTTATGTTTGTCCCCTTAGCATAAATATATTGTTCTCCATTTTATGCAGTGATGTAATTATACCCCTAAACATCTGTTGGCACGGCCGATTTATTATCATTTCTTTACACTGTGGGGAGAAGAACCTTATTTAGTCTCAAGGGTGGT